TATGAAAGTTCAAGTTTCGTGCTGAAGATTTCAAATTTTGATTTAAAATATTAATATACTTGTACTGATCCGTTATAACTGTCAATAAAACAAGAGTACCAACTCAACTCCAGACGACGACATAAACACCCCCATACAATAAGCAATAAGTCCTCCACCACCATGTTTTACTGTTGGCACCAAGTTCTGTTTTCGAAATTCTTCCCTGGGTTTTCTCCACACCAAGATTCTACCGTCAGAACCAAATATATTAAATTTACTCTCATCAGCATGATACTGAAGCATGAACTGGATAATCAGAATTCTTATTTATGTTGGATTTTGCGGAAGCCAGTCTGAGTTTTCTATTCTTTTCACTTACGAAGAATTTTTTCCTGGCTGCTCTACCGTGATATCCAGCATATCTAATTACTCTTCTAATAGTCTCAGGATTAACAATTACTCCATATAATGCCTTGTAAATCAGACAGCAACTTATAGGAGCACTCATTCTTGGAGTTTTTGTTTTAATATTTCCGAACGATAATTCGCTTTATTCCTTTGGATAGCTTCTGATGGTCGGCGAGGTCTTCTGTTATCCTGAATCATATGATTCTTTTTATATCGTTTATGATATTGTAAACTGTTGAATGACTCAAGTTTAACTGTTTCAGGAGTTTCTCTAATAGATTTTCCACGTTCAATATGCAAATTAATAAGTAATTTTTCGAATTTCAGGCAAAGTTTCTTTTTGTTTAGCATTCATGGCTGCACAGAGCTAAAAAAACACAAAATTCCAAAACAAACTGGAGAGAAATACTGCAGACGATTTTATAAATTATTACCAATTGCTTTTGAGTAAAAATAAAAACCCAAAAAAATATTTTTATTGTAGTACGTAGTAGTATCTAATGGTGTCCCCATCACTTATGCGAGCCATTTTTGCTCCGTTCTAAACAATTGTATTTTTAATTAACTTAATATTTTTAATATTTTGAGAAAATGTATGTTATGTAATAATTGTTACTAATTTAAGTATGAAGCACACCCCAAAAAATGTTTACATGTTTTTTTTAATTCATTTTATTACAGTTTCCTTTTGTAAAGCACAAGTGTCCCATCACTTTTGTGAGACACTGTATATCTAGATTAATATTTATTACACAGAAAACACATCTTTAAAATAAGGCTGATACCAAATTAGTCATTATAACGTTATATTATTAGCTTCTCATTTTTGAAAATAAGTTATCTTAAAATACCAGTTCATAAAAGAAATTGAATTTATTTATTTTATTTAAATACTTCTCTCAATATGAACTCGTAAAAATTCTCAAAAATGTTTCATTGTTATACATTGTTGTACAATTGTTAATGTCGTTGAAGGATTTCAATTAACCGAACACAATTACGATTCGTGTTTAGAACTTTTAAAAGAACGCTTTGGAAAACCAGAGAAAATTATAAAATCGCATATGAATAATCTTTTGGACATAGAACCAGTTAAAAATTCTTCTAACTTAAATGCACTAAGAAGATTACACGAAGCTTGTGAAATAAACATTCGAAGCTTAAGTAATCTAGGTAACTTCAGGTTCGTACGGACACTTGTTAAATCCGATGTTATTGAAATTATTGCCTCATGATTTGATTCTCGAATATCACCGAAAGCGTGATCCAAAAGAGGAATCTGATGTTATAGGTTTATTTGCGTTTTTGAAAAACGAAATTGAATTCCGTGAACAAACGTACGCAGTTAACAAACCGGAACGGAAACTCGTTCCATTGAATGGAAAGAATAAAAACTTCGACAAACGCAAAAGTAATTATAAATACACAAACAATAAGTTTAAAGTTAACCCCTCTTCGGCGGCAGAATTATTAGCTCCCGTAAAAGAAGAAAATTGTATTTTTTGCAAAAATAACACACATAATAGTGAAAAGTGTAACATGAGTGTAAATGAAAAACGAAATGTACTGAGACCACAAACTCAATGTTATGTTTGTCTGGCTCATGTCTGAAAAGTTTAGAATTAAAATAAGATTAAATAAATGTAATGAAAATTTGTCTGTGAAAAATGCATCAGATGTAAATTCTTTGAACACTTCTGTTTCTGAAATAAATGTATCGTCATCGGCTATGAAATTGCCAAAGTTAAATATTCCAAAATTCTCAGGAGATGCAGGAAAATGGTTAGAATTTTTTAACAGTTTTCAAGCTGCGATTGATCAGAAGCAAAGATTGAAAAATTCGTATACTTGAAATCATTATTGATAGGGCAAGCATATAATGTCGTTGAAGGACTTCAATTAATCTAACACAATTATTGTAATACAAAAGTTTCAGAAGTTTTGAGAATGTATGGTACTCAGTATAAGTTAACACATATTATTTTTTCACAAGTTTTTAATCATAAGCTCATTAAGCAAATTGCAAGTATTTGTTAGGCGCAAATTTTCATGAAATAATTGCAGTTCTTTTAACAAAATTATTTATCAGATATAATGTTTTTATTATCAGATAACACAAGTACACCACGAAGAAAATAATTACTACATAATTACCTTTAATTAAGAAACAACGTAAATACAAATCTGAATCCTCTTCCTATGAGAGCATAAGATTGCAAATTTTTGCATGAACAGGAAGAATGCATTCTCATCAAAACATACTTTGTTTAGCATGAAATAAACACGAAAAATAATATATCCAGCATGTTTCTTAAGTTCTTGTACAATTTTAAAAGATATTAGCTTGGTAACAGGAATACACTGTAAACCACGCATGGAAGCTTTATTTGTACCGTTTTACATTATTTAAAATTTTTCATTTTTGAGACACTCCATTGTCTTTAAGCATGTAAATCAACTTTTGCGCTTCACAGATCAGATGTTGTAAGAATGGTATCTTTTTAAGCCAGTGGATTTGTAATCCTCTTAGGCAAGAGGATTGTTCTGTCAAACTGTCTGCCCGATCTGAATTTAATGGATACATTCAATGGGAATATGTAAAAAAAAAAAAAAAAAAAAAAATGCCAATCTCTGAATGAGCTTAGGGTTAAGATACCAGATGTAACACATGAAATCATCAAACACAATCTAATGATTGATTTGAATGAAATGAATAACTGGTTTGCAAAATGTGACACGAAAGGTTATTGTCACACTGAATCTAAAGATGTGCTACAGCACAACTAAACCACGATTCAAAGTAATAATAGGAACGAAGTTCACAGTTAATATTGAGGACAGCTCAGAACGCAAGAGGGAAAGAAAAATAAACTACACTGCTTATCATAAATTAAGGAAAAACAACAAAAATAGCGATAACTCCCTCAAAAATAAGCCAAACCGTGTAAAATTTGAATATGTTGCCAAGTAAAATAAACTGAGTAAAACTGCAATGTGCAAATTAGTGGCGCTGCTTTCGGAATACGTCATCTGCGAGGAGCATACACTGCGAGGACTATTTCTGACATCAGAAATCTGAGATAGCCAATTCCTAACAATGACCTCCAGGCATCATTTGCCTGCAGAACTGGGATGGAGAGCTATTGGGAGACTAGAGGCAGGACAAAGTCAAACAGAAGAGGCCAGATGGCTAAATGTGAGTCCTTCTCTGGTTTATAGACTTTTCAAACCACAGATTCGGCATCTAGGAGGTTCAGCCAAGGACGGCCAATTGCTACGACGAGCGCCGATGACCGATATTTGACATTATGTGCACGCAGGGATAGAACCGTTACTCCGACTCTTCTTAGATCTTCCCTTGCTGCAGCCACCGGAAGGTTCGTGTCAACGTCAACTGCGCGTAGAAGGCTTCACGAAGGTGGTCTGTATGCGAGGCGACCAGCCATTTGTGCGCCGCTCACGTCACGCCATAAGAGGGACCGTTTTCAGTGGGCACGACATGTTCACTGGACGCCTGATCAATGGAAGGCGGTTCTCTTTACGGATGAGCCCAGGTTTAGTCTAGAAAGCGATAGTAGGCGTTATTTGATATGGAGAGAACCTAGAACCCGTTATCATCCGTGAAAACATTCCTGAAAGAGATGCATTCGGAAAAGGCAGAGTCTGTGTTTGGGGTATCATCTCTTTAAGTGGACGCACAGACCTCTATGTCTTTCCAAGGGGAACTGTGAATGCTCAGATTTATAGAGATGACATCCTTGATGTTTATGTGCGCCCATATGCCAGGGCAATAAGTGATGCTTTCCTGTTACAGGACGACAACGAAAGACCACACAGGGCTTGCATCGTAGGTGATTATCTTCAGCAGGAAACAATTATGCGCATAGAGTGACCAGCTCGATCCCCGGACTTGAATCCTATCGAGCACGTTTTGGATACTTTAGAGAGACATCTAGCTGCTCTCAATCTGCCCCCTGAGACCCTTGTTGCGCTTGCAACTGCTTTGCAAGAGCAATGGCTCTCGCTTCCTATGGAACTGATAGACCGCATAATTGAAAGCATCGCACATCGCTGTATGTGCTGTATTGCTTCTAGAGGCGATCATATCCATATTGAAGGAATTATTTTCCATATATTATTATATTCCATACTTTCCTATAGCAAACTGACACCTTCGATTTGTTCATTTTTATACATGTGTAATTTCTATACTACCATATTTGTTGGTAATTTCCTTTTATGTTATTTGATACCTTACTATGTGTTGTATATTGTAGGTAAGTTTCATTAAATTCTACGTGTAACGTTTTCAGTAATCGTGATTTTTGTGATTTTTCCTTAATTTATGATAACCAGTGATGAATTAACAGAAATACATTACTGACAATTCACCGGAATTTTCAAAAAGTTTAATCTGGAGAATAAATTCATTTAATTACGTAAATTAAGTTGGCGTTCAAAGTAAGAAGAAAATATAGAAAAATATACATAGAAAAATAAACGTCATTAGAAATGAAGAATGATAAAGGCACCTTTTTGTCTCAGAAATAGTGAAGCGTAATATAGAAAATTTCAGTAATGACAACGACAATTTTCATATATATACTTACTTGATCTGCTTCCAAGTCAAATTCAATCTGACTAGTATCTATAGGTTCATCTGCCTCAATTGAATTTGGTTGCGACAAATCGTCAGTTGGACTCGGAGGCGGGGATGGCACTGTGTCGATCTGTATAGTTGGCAACCTCTATATGAAAAAAATAAAGGAAGATAATAAGTATTAAATCAGCTAAATATAAGAAAGGTAGTTTATTAGAATTATACATTTCCTACGCATCCCTCCTTTTAGCCTTTAATCCATAGTCAGGTATAAAAGTATTACCTAGGACTGGAATTAGAAACATGGACGTTCTCTTCGACGTAAATAACCTCCTCTTATTCATAGAGCCGTTGTAGCCTGTATGAGCTGTGAATAATTCTTATTTAAGGAATATTTAGAATATTCGATCTTGAAGATGTGACTAAACAATGGTAGCCATCCGGAAATGTAATTTGATCGCATGAAGACCTAGATCTGATGAAATGCGTAATAAGTCATTCACCTTTAAAAATGTTTTAATTGATCGTTTAACAATACCTAATGTATGAAGTATTTTACATGACAAAACATGCAGCGGTTACATGACGTCTTGCAGCGATTTCCTACACTACAGGACGTTTATTTATGTCAGAAGCATACTTCCTTCTCCCATTCTTATACACTGACTACCAATAAATATTTGGACACCTATGCAAATGACGATATCTGCAGTCCTAAGGTACGTCACGGACTCCGCCGGTATATATCGTGTAGGAAACAGCATCGGCTTTAGTCGCATGCAAGATGCCTCGCAGTTCGGAGCTCTCTGATTTCGAGAAAGGTATAAATATCGGGTATCACAAATGTGGCCGATCCTCAAGAGACATATCTAGCGATCTGAAGTACCCAAAATCGACAGTGGCCTATGTGATTAAGAAGTGGAAGGTGAGCGGTGATTGTCGGAATGTGCCCCGAGTCGGCAGACCAACGAAACTGGGAGATAGAGACCGACGAGTGCTGTCCAGAGAATTCGAAAGAACCGCACCCAACCGATGGCCCTCATCCGCGAGGAGTTTCAACAGGCATCCGGAAGTATTGTTTCAATGAATACCATCCGTAAGGAAGCACATCTGCTTGGTTTTCATGGTCGCGCTGCTGCGCTAAGCCTTTGATCACAAAATCCAACCGCACTGCTCGGTTAATGTAGTGCAAAGCACATCGAAATTGGACCGTAGATCGGTGGAAGCGGGTTCTTTGGAGTGACGAATCAAGGTTCACCCTTTACCGTTCGGATGGCAGGGTCTGGGTTTGGCTTCTACCTGGAGAACGTCTCCTGTCAGAATGCATTGTGCCAACAGTCAATTTCAGCGAAGGTGGAATTATGGTCTGGGGGTGCTTCTCCTGGTATGGGCTGGGACCCTTGCTCCCCATTCATGGCAAGCTCAACTCCGATGCCTACTGCATAATTTTGGATGACAATGTGCTTCCTACGTTGTGGCAGTTTTACGGGTTGGACCATTGTTACTTTCAGGATGACAATGCCAGTTGTCATGTTTCGACGTTAACCAAGGCTTGGTATGGTGCCAATGGAGTTCATCGAATGGACTGGCCTGCCCAGAGTCCAGACCTGAACCCTATCGAGAACCTCTGGGACGAGTTGCATCGCGGAATTCAGGGGTGCACTACCTGTGCAAAATCGGTGAAGGAACTTCTATGTCTTCTCCAAGCCGAGTGGAAGAAAATACCACTAGCTGTCATACAAAGACTTGTGGAAAGTATGCCGCGGAAGGTCCACGCTGCAATTACCTCTCGTGGAGACTCTACCAACTATTGATTTTGAATAAAATTAGTTTTTCTTTTCTATCACAGGTGTCCAAATACTTATTGGTAGTCAGTGTATAAGAATACAGCCCATGGTATTTGAATCTGCGAATGTAACACACATACGCGCGCACATACACATACACAAAACAAACAAAAGCAAGAGAGAGAGAGCGAGAAAAGTTTGGAAAAGTTTGCCGATTTTTTTTTTTTTGAAAAATTATGCGTTATGCATTATCAGCAGAAAAATATTAAAGAAATTAAACTAACAGCTATAGGAATTTAAACAGCTCATTAAAATATTACTGAAATTTTAAAATTTAACTAAAGAATATTTTACAGTTACGAGTTACAAAAGTGTTTCCAGAAGGTGGTTATTAGTTTCAATAATAAAAATCATATTAAGTTGAAAACTGCAGCGTCGTATACCTTATGTAAAATAGGAAGATTCCTGTTATGCAAATTAATAAACGGACAATTCTTTAATCTCATTCTAACGCTACAGCTTGGTTTCTGATCTGCAATAAATTCGAATATTTAATTTTTACGACTTGTTATATACATATGTATAAAAATGATTTTCAACATTTTCAAAAATCTTTATTTATTCTTTTCGTTTTGAACCAAGAAAGAATCTTTTCAAGTCTTTCTACAGTCAATCTTTCTACAAGTAGTTCTACCATTCTGCCAACTGCAAATCAAAAGAGAATAGAATTTAAACAAAAATGTAGTAGCTTTAAAAAAAAAAGAACAAACAAAGTAAGTATTCTGTCATCGCAATTCATCCACATTTGAAACTTCTTTTAGTGCACACTTCAGCTGAGTGGATGAGTTTTTGTCAAACACTTAACATAGTCCATCCAGAACTTAAAAAGAAAGCATAAGAAGTCTGTAATGCATTTTCCTCCTTCAAAATGACAACTTCTAATGTTTTCATATTCTGAATTTAATTTCTGATTTTCGTACATAAAAATTCTCAAATGGAGCAAAAGACTATCGGTAGGTGGCGTTTACAGACGGAACGCCTTCATAGCACTGCATGTCATTACCTATATCTAGGGTGTTTCATATTAAACAGGATAAAAATAATAACACAGTGTAATATAACACTGTAATTGATTTATTAAGCCGAAACGAATCAATTCTGAAACTACACTCATGTCCATAAATTAAGGATAATTCGGAGTCACGCGGAAATCGAACTCTAAAATAAATATATCACCTGTAAAATAACTACACACATCTTCAAGAATCATATGCAAATTTCAGGAAGTAACCAGATGACACCGATGGTACGTCACAATGACGAGAGTGTAATAGAGTGATATATAAGGAATACAGGCAAAGAAGTAAAATTGTTCGCAGGTGCTTTATAAGCACTTCAGTGCAATAACCGAATAGTTATGACACAAAGGACGCATTTGGATGATTTTTTTTACGTAGTAGAATTATCGGCCGTCTGGAATGGGGGCGTACCCAACTAGAAGTATCAGACAAACTTGGAATTGCCCAGAGTGTCATCTCCAAGCTTTGGTAATGATTCCAAGATGATGGTGAGTAGACGTTACAGCACAGGTCGCCCCAGAGTTACAACGCCGAATGAGGACCGGTATTTGGCAGTTACTGCCAAAAGAAAAAGGCGGAGCACAGCCTCAGACCTATTTCGTCAGCTCTCTTCAGCTACTGGTACGACTATTACAAGGCAGACCGCGTACAGACGCTTAGGGCAGATTGGTCTATATGCTCGTAGACCTGTCAGATGCGTTCCACTTACTGAAACTCACTGTCGCCTGCGGTTAGCCTGGAGTAGAGAGCATGCATTGTGGACACCGCAACAGTGGGATTGTGTGATGTTTTCCGACGAGTCCAGATTTAGCTTGCAGTCTGTTTCTCGCCGGACTTTCATATGGAGAGCTCCAGGTACCCGTTACCACCAAGAAAACATCATTGAACGACACCGTTACGGTGGTACAGGAGTGCTCGCTTGGGGTGGACTTATTCTGGGTTCCAGAACTGACCTGCATGTTCAAATTGGAACCATGACAAGCCAAATCTATCGGGACGTCATTCTGGAACAACATGTTACGTTTGTTTTCGGGCGCCCATGGGCGCACAATTTGTGTTTATGGATGACAACGCCCGTCCTCACCGTGCAAACATCGTAAGCGAATGCCTTCAGTCGGAGGATATCACCCGTATTGACTGGCCAGCATTCTCACCGGACTTAAATCCAGTAGAGCACGTGTGGGACATGCTTGGCCGACGAGTTGCAGCCCGTCAATCTCCTCCTACATGTCTACCGGAACTTCGGAGAGCATTGCGTTTTGAGTGGTGTAATATCCCCCAAGATCAGATCGATAATTTGATACTCAGCATGCCTAGGCGTTGTACGGACTGTATTGCATCGTCTGGGAGACATACACTGTATTAACAATCATACCAACCATGTAATATTGTTTTTTTGTAAATAGGTGTTTTTTGTAATTTGCTCCAGGGAGAAAAAATCGCTATTTTTGTTAATAATATCAAACATATAGCATCTTTTTTGCTCTTTACCTTTTGTTTAATAAATAAGCTTTACAAATCAGTCAAATTTGTTTTGCTTCTAACTCTTCCTTTGCCTGATTTTGCATTATCCTTAATTTATGGACATGAGTGTATAATCATACAAGTTTTATCTGGCAAGAGCAAAATGTATTCCGGTTTCGAAATCGCCAGCAGAAGCACTATTAATCAAAATGGGGCCATATATGCAGGAGAAAGCGCACAGTGTTTTGGAATACCCAAAACATCGTTGTGCTTTTGGTCCTTTTCTTCTTCGCGGAAAATGTGACTAACGGGGGCAACTACCAAGATATGCTATCAGAATGGTTGATTCCTCAGCTGTACTGACAGGCTCGCAGTTTCATTTTGAAGCAAGACGGTGATCGACAACATTGGCATAGAAAGAAAGGTACTCCAGTACCTGAATGATAGTCTACCCCATCGCTGGATTGGCCGTGCCAGGTCAAACGATTTGCCATTGCATTGTTGGCCACACATCTAACGGCTAAGTCCATCTAAGTCACACATCTAAGTCCTCACATGTAACGGCTAATTTTTGCTATGAGATTTTGCTAAAGACAAAGTGTTCATGACTCCATTTCCCCAGGATTTACAGCAACCGAAGCAGCGGATAACTGAAGGGCTCGTATCATAAACAAAGGATACTCTATCACGAGTGTGGCAGGAACTCAAAGATATTTACCGTGTCACCAGAAGAGCACACATTGAAAATATAAATAACTTGGATATGTATAGTATTACTTTAAATTTGTTTTATCAAAATAAAGTGATTTCAACACTGT